GAATATCATTATTAACAATAAAAGCAATAGTTTCCTTTTGAATTAGTATGCTGAAACTACAAGATAACAGTTATGTCAAAGTAGCATATAACAAACTGTATAAATTATGTTTAAAGATGGATAATTATACATATAACCAGTGGTGATATTCAGCGGGTTCGCACAGGTTCAGCCGAACCCATTGTTAACATTTACAAAGTTTTCCGAACCTTGTTGAACACACGTAACAATGCTCAGTGGTTTTGTTTCTTTTAAAAAATATATTAAAATATAAGTATTATACTCTGTAGCACTACTAAACTAGAGCCTTACATCACGTTTGCCTTGGTACGACCTCCCTCGACCGTTTCAATCTCGACTGAAACGAGGTACAATCGCGACCGACTCAAGAGAGTTCTTGAAACTAAATCTTCATAAGAGAGATCCCACAATCCCATGCACGCGAGAAAATACAAGATGGCTGCGGAACACGTGTCGTAATAAAATATATACAAAACAAACCATTTTGAACACTTTTTATTATTTATAAAAAAAATAATATATAGCTCTGGCATAAACAATGTTAAATTTTAACTGACTTAATTTTGTGAACGCATCTTTTTTATTTATATGAGTATCTTAAGNGTCTACACTTTCTCGTTAAAAAGCGTAGCTGTTGCCACAAATTTGTCGCGAAGAGAATGACGGTCGCGGTCGTTCAAAAAGAATTTAAGTTTTAATTGGTTTTTAGCGGCCGGATGGCCGAGCGGTCAAGCTATTATATAGCTCTGGCATAAACAATGTTAAATTTTAACTGACTTAATTTTGTGAACGCATCTTTTTTATTTATATGAGTATCTTAAGTTCAGTTTTTGCGCTAATCTTGCTAATGCACCATTTGAGCAAAAAAAAAAATGTTAAGGAAAAATTTTCTGTTAGCGAACCCTTTGTTAAATATTTCGAATATCACCACTGCATATAACTGGACATTGGCATTGAAAAATCTGTTAGATCAACTCGGTTTCTCATTTCTATGGTTGTCTCAAGATCCTCATTTGATCAAAAGTTATCAAACATTAATTATAAAAGTATGTTGCAAACAGAGCATACAAGAAGATTGGTCTTTATTGGAAAAGAACAAGCATTTTCAATTACAGTGAGTGATCAGTTAATGAACATAATCCATTCCAAGACTTTGTTTGCTATCCAAATTGTTTGTTAACTGATTATTGATTCACCATAGGTTTTTATGGGAATTTGATTAATTCATTCTGGAGACTCCAAAAAATAAAAAAATATACTTTCTTACTATGTTTATTTATATGTAATATTCCATTTGTGGGGGTTGAAGAATCTGTTCAGGTTTGATTGCTTTTCTTTCTTCTTCAGAATTTTTCGGAAGTAATTAATAGCATTGTAATTGTAGAGCCCCAAGCCTATTAACCTCATTCTAGTTTTGATGCAACTTAGATGACCATTATTCTGATATCCTCCCACTTCTTCAAAAGATATTCAAAAGATTACAAAAATCAGAGAACAGATATCAACTAGTGCACAAAAAATTATTTAAATGCAAGATCTGAATAAAATTCGAAATTTGGCATTAAAATGTTTACAAATATCCAATGGGACAGTTAAACTCTTGCCTTTTGTAAATAAAAACCAACACAAAACAAAAAGCTGGAATTACAAGAGAGAGTTTCAAAATTTGGAGGAATACTATCCGATTGGTATTGGTTTGAGCGTTGATGTCAATGTTTTCAGAGCTTGGAAAGGTTTCGAATTGTCCCTGTAGACAAGGGAAGACCAATTGATATTCACTATTTTATGTTACTTCTTTTTCTATTTGTTGTGTGAAGTGTTCATTGTCCAAACATAAAAATCTTTTGTAAAAGTGTTCGTTATCCAATTTGTTTGCAGTCTGAACTGTTTGTTAACCAATCACCCACTGTATATTGTATTTTTAAAACAACTCATATGTGTGAGAATTATTTGTCTATGGACATAAATTATCATGTAAAGCAATTAATTCTACAGCTGAGATATACAGTGGTGCCTCGTATAATGTACTTAATCCGTTCCAGGTGCACGTCCGTTATACGAAACGCATTTTCCCATAGAAATACATGTTAAAACATATAATTCGTTCTGCAGCATAAAATAACCATACTGTACCATAACAAAAAAATGAAAATGGAGCAGTCACCAATTATGCCGGGTAGTCAGGTGTTGTGAGGAGGAGGTGGAGAAACACTTTCTTCACACATTCATACAGATACAGACTTTTTACACATTGCAGCAGGTCTTTTTTTTATTCTTTCTTAATTGGATTCAGATTCAGGAGAGGCTACCGGAGCTTGCAGGGTCAACTCCTCTTGTTCCATCCTTTGTTTTTTCCCTGCTGGCTTCTTGAAAAACATGTCCAAGATGGTCTGTTTCTCTCTCTTCTTCAAC